AAACTTCAAAGTTCATCAGTGCATTTTGAACAGGAAATCTGCTCGCTCGAGTTCACTTTCGGTGAGAGCTTGCAGTGACACAGCTGTGCCTTCACCTCGCTCCCAAAGGGCAGGTGGCCACAAGCTGCATCTCTTACCCTGTAAGGAATGCTTCTGGTTGAGGAAGACCTTGACCACCAAAGTCCCACACTTCCATCAACCACATCTTGCTTTACAATGTGAATCTTGAACATCCAGAGAAGTCCTGAGAGTTAAGGTTGTGGCATCTACCAGGGATTACACAGGCAGGCAGCACTGTGATGGGTCGCCCAGGAGTCCCATACCCTTGTGCTAATGCTGTGAGCTGATTGTGTCTGTGCCTGACAGCAGAGTGTGTTTGCTATGAAATGGCCCTTCATGCAGGCACAGAGGTGCAAACTGCAAAGTGTCCAGGTCTTCTGGTTTTTGGAAGATGTCCCTGCACACAGGCACCTGACTGCCTCTCCGAAACCCCTGCTTTTTAAGGGAGACACAAGTGGCGTGGTGCTTCTTGTTGCAGACAAGAAGACAAGGACATGGAGCAAGGACTTACTGTGTGGTCAAACACACCAGCTCTGTGCTGACTTGGTGTCCTGCAGTCCCTGCCTTTCTCCTGCACTTCTTCCTGCTGCAGTTACATGGGGACAGCTCCATCAGACAGGCCCAGAAGCACGTGAACATTAATGAGTGCCTGTTGCCAAAAAGGAAGCCTGTGCTGGGAATGCCGTGGGCTGCCTTGGCACAGTGTGCAGCACTTGACTGGACAGCTGGCTTCTGCTGTCTGGACTTGCAATTGTCTGCTCCAAGTCTGGCAAATCCCAAGTGGGGAGAGAAGCTGATGGGAGCTGTTTCCCACCCCTAGGAAGAGAGATACGTGCAGGATCTGGGAGGGAAGCTGTCAAACCAAGCTCTCTGCATATGACTTGCAACCAAATAATCTCATTGGGACCTTGGGTCTCTTCTTATAATCATGGCCTCAGACTGGGACTGTCCAAAATTTTAATTAGAACCTAAGAGGAAAAGGTGTTGTACATGACCAAATGCATTTTATAAATATACTTAATTCATGTAAGGCCCCTTTATCAGCTAATAGCTGGCTGCTAATGTTGACACTCTTGTTTGATGTAAATAGAAAAGTACACGTCTTGACCCTTAGAGGTCACCTTAGAGGGTGTAGATAAGTGGTTGCTTTATCTGAGGTGAAAAGATAAATACACATCCAACAGAAATATTGCTGAGCAATCTGCCCTCTTCCGTGTATCTCTCCCTGCAGAGATAACGCAGGGTTGGAGCTCATCAGAACCAGATCTTTGGCATAAAGGATCTCCCACAAGTCTGGCTTCAGTGAGCAGTCTGCATTGAAAAATGTGTGTGTTGGCTGAATGTTACTGTAGTGACTAACTGGCAACTACTGCACACTTTATGCGGAAATATTTTCTGGAGGAGACCCGGAATTTAGCTGGACTCAAGGCTAATGGGAGAATTTTTTCCAGCTTGGATACCTCACCAAAATGAAGGGTGGAACATCAATTTTAGAAAGTCGTTGAGCCTCAGAATCGTTCATGTCTTAGCTCTGTATGAGCTTGATAGAGTTTGATGTTTTACTCCTGGGTAGGAATATGGGTGTTGCAAATGGCTGTTGGTTGTTTTGACTACATTCTCCAGAGCTCTTATACTGAGCATTTGGGTGAAAGATGAAACATTTTATTAGGGAAACCGGCCCACAGACCATTCCAGCCCTCTGCCCAGTTTCTGGGGAAATGTGCAGTGGAGGATCTTGAATCACAGCAGACTGAACTCCAATTATCTGGAGAGGATGGGCAGTGGCAGAGTGAACAGAGGGCTGGGAGGACAATGCCTCTTGTTCTTCCTCCCATTTCAGATTAAATCAATAAGGATGAACTTCAGCATGTCTTATCACTGAAAGTAAGTGAATCACTTGATCTCATTTGGTTGGGAATCAGTTAAAACAGCTAGTTTACTCCTAGAAGCTTTAAACAAAAATCGAAACACCACTTTTCTCCAAACAATTCACACATGCTCAACTTAGTGGCTTCAGCAGTAGCAGCAATGTGAGAGTTCCCATGAACTCTGGCTAACCTCTGAGATTTATTGATAAATGAAGAGAATAAGGGACCAGCACTGAAATCTTTTCTTGCTAAGGCATTACTCTCTATCTCTTAGCAAGAAGCCCAGGGCTGGGTTCAGGATATTTATTCCTCTTAGAGATGTTAAGGAAAATTGATTCTGAACAGTTTAAATGACCAATATTGAGAAATCTGTGATTTTTGTTTTGAACTGCCAGCACAGTCATGTGCCTTAATACAGGAGCAGGATTGAGTTGTGCATCTTAGTTAACAGGGACACATTTTTGAGCAAAGGTGAATAACAACCCACAAAACAAAATAACTTGCTGTTTTATTTCCCATAAATACTGATTTTCAAAACCTTTTTTTTTGGGGGGGGAGGGGTGGTGGGGTGGTTAGGATTCACATTTATGGTGGTAAGTGACAGCAGTAGGTTTTGCATCCAGTGGAAATAACTGTGGCAGCAAGATAACCAATATCTGTTGTAGAGAGGGATAATTTGACCAGGAGTTGTGCTTCAAAACCAGGACTGAATGCCAAGCCTTTCCCTATTCCTTATTCTGACGAATATTCAAGTGCAGTGTTAACCTAGTACTGATTGATTATTTTTTCAATAAAGAAGCAGGTTTCTTTGCTTCACTACAGTTATGAAAATCAGTGTTAGTTCTTGGTCCTTTGCAGAATCTACAGCAGTCCAGAGGAGACCCCTGTTTTCCCTGGGCTGCTCACCTGGTGCGTGGTGTCCAGAGACATGGAGCGACCAGTGTCCTCTCCAGACAAACTCTGGGGTGAGGACAGGGTGGCTGTGCTTTGGGGAGGGCCCTCTTCCTGTCTTGCCAAGACATTCCATGGAAATGGGAACATTTGCAGACAGTGGTTCCAAGAGAGGAGCTGTGGATGTGCAGAGGAAACTTGCTGACCAGCGTTGGCGTTAGCAGGGATGGACACCAGGGATGCCCAACATCAGCATCCTTTGGGCTGGCAGTGGTCACTGCCCGTCCACACTCACTCACCGAGGCCTGTGTGGCCTGGGGAGAGTGTGTCCTCTTTGTCTTCCTGCTGAGGTCTGTGCTGATCCTCTCCTGGTCTGTAAATCCTGTCATTCTACATCATGAGAAAATGCTTTGCAATCCCGGGAGTGCTTCCGTGGAAAGGGGACACTTATACAAAAAACTCAGCAGGATTTAGTCTTTTGTAAAAGAAAACATGACTGTGACATATTGCCTGAGAATGAGGAATCATTTTTCTTTGATGCAAAGTTGCTTAGTCTTAGAAATAACATTTGCGTACACTTTTGTGCAGATAGAACCTGGGTTTTAAAATTACATCAACCCGACTTTTAATTTTGTGAGTGTAAATTGCACCTGCAAATCATTTTGTCTGCAAACTGCAGCATTTCATATTTGATTTCCTGATTTCCAGTGGCTTGCTTAACTGGTGTCAGTTAGTTAATTTGATATACAGCTTTTCAGGCACTACTATTTTAGGAATAAAATTGCGATCTCAAAGCTTGAAAACCATTTCTGAACATCTGATGGAAGTGAGGAGCTAGGATGTATTGCAAACCCACTGTATATTCAAATCTTTTGATACCGTCTTCCAGTGTGAGGTCATTGCTGGTTATCATGGTGAAAGGCATCATCTGTGGTATCTGTTGAGCAGCTTGACCTAACCAAAGCAAGAAACTGCAACTGACAGCAAGATTCATGGTTTTGTTCATGATGTGTGTTTTTGTGAATCACATTTTGTCAGTCTCAGTAGCAAGTTTGCTCTTTTAATAGCTTTATTTCCTATTACCTCCCTTTACCTAGCTGTGTTTTCAAAACCAGGCCTCTTAGCTAGTCTGAAGTTACCAGCTGTCTGTTGTTTAAAAGTGCCTATGGGGTGTGGGCATTTCATAATGAACTGTCTACATGTGTAGGCACCCACAGACAGTCAAAGTCCTGGGTTAGTTCCTCCCCACCACCACAGAAGATGACATTTTTAAATTCAAAGCTCCTGCATGCTTTTGGGGAAGTAGCTGAGATACTAGCTGAGTAGTAGCTGAGATATAGTTAACTCAGCTAAAGTAAGCATTACAAAAACTAAGCATTTTGAAGTAAAAATTATTTTAAAGAAATTTTAAAAAACAGAAGAAAAGAGAAGGCAAAATCACACATAAAGCCTTGTTTCTTAGCAGCCACATAGATGTTGCCAGATTGAGGCACTGGAACCCAGAGTTTTGTCTTTACCCTGATGTGTGCCAGGACATGTCAGGGGTCAGTGTGGGGACAGAGCCAACTGCCCAATCCCTTCCAGCTTCCCCAGCACACCTCAGCCACGGATGGCAGGACTGGAACGTGGCTCTTGTTCAGATATTCTGAGGCTGTGCTGAGATTTCCTAGAAGAGGAGGCTCCAGGGCTGGCATCACCTGTTGGACAGAAGTTAGATGGAGACCTGTGAGCTTGTGCCATGTTGTGGTGTGAGAACAGAGGTCTCCCAGCATTGCTGCTTCCTTCGTGCTAAAGGGAAATTCAGCCCTGTAGAGATAACTCTGTTAAATTCAGAGCACAGTAAGGGTGTGGCTCTGGTAACTGAACCACCAGTTTGGTGATGTCACCA